TTTTGTTTGGCAAATCGACTCCGTATTGAATATTTACAGGATGTTTATTGGATATTATACCTTTTTTGTATGATAAGCATTTAATTAAAAAAAAAACATGCTTAAAAGAGAAATGATTCTAACACTTCTCTTATCAACCGGCCCAGCCCACAAAGGTGCAGGCTGAGGGCCGGCCCGCCCATCGGCCCGGCTGTTGGGCCGGGGTCGACCCGTATCACTAGTTTAAACGCTAGCCTTAATATAAACGAACTTAAAAAGTTTTCGTCAATCACGTGACAATGACATTTTGATGACGATACTGGGGAAGATAACCTCTAATACAGTAATATGTGTGGTCACTTGGCCAAAAATTGGCTAATGATCTGAACATGTAAGTTCTCCAAGTCACTCCAGACAACTAGAATACTAGAATTCTAGACATTAAAAAACTAAACCATTAGAACACTAGAAGCATTAAAATATCAGTAACCACTTGAATACCAGAATACTAAAATATTAGAACACTAAAATACGAATTGATTTTATTACTATATCAGGAAATATTATTCTTTTATAGAATAGATAGCCTAATAGTATTAAAATACTAAAATCCTAAAACATTAAAATGCTAAATCACATTTTGGGCACCTATTATAAAATTCAGATACGCTATTTGATAATTAATGTTTTAGAGAGGTATTTTATAGAATGATAAGATATAAATATAATACAGACAAAGTATAGATATAAATATAATATAAAGTAGTAATCAAAGTAACTTCAATTACAAGTTTCTCATCCCAGAACTGAGATTGACAATGTAATATAAAATTTCTGTTCATGAACTTGAAATCATGGACAAACTGAGCAAGCAAGAGTTCGAGGACCGGAGACATAGATGGTTTCACCTGAGGCACTAGTACAATTAAGATAATATAAGTCACCAATAGCTTGTGCTGTAATTGTTGCACATGTTATTGATTGACGCTTCGCTAGACCGTTATTAGAATTCTCAATTGGACTTGACAATGCAACAATAAAGATGGCTGTGAAAAACAGGATGAACTGGAGACCCTTAAAATTCATCTTGAACTAAAAAAGATAACAAGGACAATGTTAAATAAAAATGTCAAAACAAAAAAGAATTACAATATATTTTAGATAATTGATAATACCAATAATTGCAAAAAAAAATAAATCTGAGGAATGCGAAACGAATGATTTACCAACCTTTATATAAAGAATTGAAATGAAATTTTGT